CACCTAAGCGTAATGTGACATCCTGGACGGGGTCTTGGAACAGAAGGACATTAGGTAAAAACTGGGGACATCTGAATCAACTCAGGACTTTAGCTCATACTGATGTATCCCCATCGGTGCGGGCCTTGTAACAAACGTACCAAATAAGGAGAGCAGGAAGGTGTTAATAAAAGAGGAAGCTGGGTGCAGGGGGTACGTGGGAACTCTCTGTCCTAGCTGCTCAATTTTTCTGTGACTTTACAACTGTTCTAAAAAAATCAAGCCTATGTTCATACAGGGTGTTATCTCACTTCATGCCGCGGTGACAGGCTCCACCCCATCCCGACTTTCCAGAGGAGGGTCAGGCCTGCCCGGGGTCACTCAGAGGCAGGTGCTAGTCAGGATAGCTGGTGAGTCGCCGCAGACCATTGCTGGGGCCAGTCAGGCAGATGTGACCTTAGGTGGCTGAGCCTTCACAGCCAGGTCAGGGGAGGGGGATATCAATAGGACTTAGCGCCCTCAACTGGGATAGCGGATAAAATGGGCTGCAGGTGAAGAGCTTAGCAGCCCCACCCCCGGGGCTCCCACCGGCGGCTGTCCTCTGTCAAATGAGGCTGTCCTCTGTCAAATGAGGCTGTCCTCTGTCAAATGACCGGCGCCTGGCCTCTGTGGGCTGCCGAGCGAGTGGGGAGGGCCGTGTGCCCGGGGTAGGGGTCAGGGAGTATTTGGGGGAGGAGCGCCCCCCTGGCTCCGTGGTCCCTAGGCCTCTGCGGCGGCTGTTCCTGGAGCACCAAGCCCAGCCGCTGAGGCCCCTTTAATGGGGGCAGGGGTGGCAGACAGGCACACAGAAGCCTCTTTGTCCCAGCTCTGGGGGGGGCTGGCAGCCGGCTGTCCCCGGGGGCAGCTTCGGGCTGGGTACCGCCCCTCCCTGCATGGCACTGGGCTGAGGAAGGGGCTGGGGGTGACTCACTCCAGGCTACCCTGACTCACCGGTGACCTTGAGGCAGTCCCTGGGCCCTCTGTGGGGCCCCCAGTTCGCCACAGGTCACCCAGCAGGAACTTCGTCGCCCCTGCCCCTCAAAGGCCTGGTGTGGAGGAGGAGAGACGTGGAGCAGCCCGCTGCCGTGAGGCCGGGCTGTCCTTGCTCACAGACCGCCTGGGTCCACATCCTGTCCAATCCAGACTCTCCGCTCCCACCTGCCCGGCGCCCGGGGCCCGAGGCCGCATGGCTTCTCAGACCTGGCGACAGAACTCTGACTCACGGTGTCCCCTGCCCGGACCCCTCCCCTCCGTGGGCTGCCCAGCGGCCAGAGTGGAACAGACAGCGCGGGCGCCTCGGTCGCTCATCTGCTCTCCCGGCCATTCGGGACTTGTCCTTGTCAAGGTCACCAGCGGCCTCCCTGTGGCCAAAGCCGGTGGGTCCTTTGTCTTGCCAGTCCGCTCCGTGGCTGGCCCCCAGCCCCTGGAAACCCGGTCTCCTCTCGGCCTTAGCAGCCCTCTCGGCTCTGGGGGAGGCTCTCGTCCTGCCCCCCTCGAGCAAGTCCCCGAGGCGCCACTCCAGCCTCTGGGCTTCAACGCCATCTCTAACGGATGACCCGGGGCTTCCGACCTCCTGCCGGCACCTGGGGCTTCTCCCTGGCCAAAAAGGGCGGCCTCGTCCCTCCCGTCGCCGGGAGCTGGGCGGACTCTTCCCCGTCTCTCGTCCCCACAGCCAACCCGGGAGCACGTCCTGGCAGCTCACCCAGGTTGGGACAACTCATCGCCACCCCCCCCCCCCCGCCGGGTCGGGCCACCCTCTCTGTGCAGCTGGACCCCTGTGGGCGCCTCCTTCCTGGCCTCTCCACCCCCGGCCACCCGCCCTGCGGCATCAGATGATGTCAGTTCCCTGTGGGGAACTCACCAGTGGCTTTCCACAGCCTCCCTCGCAGCCCACGGCCCTCAGGCCCTACAGCATCGGCCCACTGCCTCGCAGCTGCCACCACCCCTTTACTGTGAGCAATTTTCTCCAGCCATGCTGACCTCCTTTCCAGTCCCCAAACACACGGGCACACACCAGCCCCAGGGCCTTTGCACTTGCTGTTTCCACTGCTTGGAATACCTCTCCCCAAGATATCTCCATGGTCCCTTGGCCCATGTCCTTTGGGTCTCCGCACAAATGCCACCTTTTTGGAGAGGCTTCCTTGCCTATTCCCTTATCTTGGTTTTGCTTCCCAGGAGTAAGTCGTGTGTGTGTGTTTATTAACTAGACACCCTTTCATGCTCCTGCCTTCCCTGATGTCAGGGCTTGCCTGGGACACTGGGACCTCTGGGGAGACAGTGAGGAGTGGGGGGCAGGCTCTGCAGGCTGGCACGGTGCCCTCACTGCCTTCATGTTAACACTCAAATCAGAGCTACTATTTAAATTGATCAGAGACTGTGCAAACACCACTATCAGGGGATTGTCTCCTGTTATCAGCCCAGGGGCAAAGGTGTGTGATGGGGCAGCTGGCACATTTGGTGACTTGGCAGCCAGAGATGTGCTGGGCCGTGGCTGGAAGCTCAGGTTCCAACCAGAAGGACCCACCCGGGATGCCCACCCTGCCAGCTTGCACAGCACACACCTGGCTCTGATCCTGCCTATCCTCTGCCCAAGCTGGCCTGCTGCCTAGAACACCCTCTCCTCCCGGTGCTCACTGGAGGCTGCACGGCCCTGGCGGTGGAGTATGTGATCTGAGAGACGGGCAGCTCTGGACTTTTGATTCTAGACTTTGCTGCTGCCTGGGTGTGGGCCAGTGGGCAAGTCACTTGGTGTCTCAGAGGATGGGGATCAGAACCTCCTCACTAGGTTGTCACAAACGGGAAGAGTGCCCAGCGCGGGCCGTGGCGCATAGTAGGTGCTCACAAAACATTCACTGTTAAATGACCAGCGAGGCCGAGGTGCGAGTCTTGGCCAGTGGTCTGGTGGGCAGCGCCTCTCCGCACCTGTGCACGCCTGCATTTCGCCCTCACGACAACCGCAGGAGGTGGTACTGCCAGCGGGTTCATTTTACACATGCACAAAATGAGGCTCAGAGATGCAGTGACACTTGCCCAAGGCCACCGAGCCAGGAGGTGGTGGAGCGGGACTTGAACCCAAATCAGGGTAGCTATTGAAATGGATTAGGGGCCTGCTCGAAACCATCCCCAGACGAGGCTTTGAGGCTCAGACTGACGCCATTCCTGCCCTTCAATGTGGTACTTACTCCAAGGCAGAGGGGCTGGGGGTGCAGGTCCCTCCTCCCATGCCTGGCGGGGCTATGCCTGGCTCCTGGGGACGCGGCCCGGACTTCCCGCACTGGACAGGCGAGACTCTTTCGCCTCCAGCTGGTCCGGCCCCCCAGCACATGCCCACCCCAGCCAGACCCAGATGGCTCAATTGGCCGGCCTGGGCACTATTGGCTTAGGCAGCCGGATGCTTGTAATGAGATTGTGGGAGCTGAACCTTCAGGGAGGACCATGAGGGACATGAGGGACCAAGGGCACAGCTGCCCCCTCAGCCTAGGAGCCCAGGACAGGGAGGGGATGAGTGCCCAAGTCAGAGGGAAGAGGGGAGCCGTGGTGGGTGGAGAGGAAGGAAACCGAGGCATCTGGGGCTGGGGTGGAGACGCTGTCTTAAGAATTATGTTGTGGCTTTGGCTTGAGGTGTGACTCTCAGCTGGTCCCTTCTCTGACCCTCGGTTCCCTCATCTGGAAAATGATGACAACCTTAGCATCCACCTCCCAGGCTGTGGATAGGTAAGGACCGACACCCAGGAGATAGTAATAAACTGCAGTTTGCTCATTCATTCATTCATTCATTCATTCATTCACTGACTCAGTAAATATTGAGTACTGGCTATGTGAATGAAACAGAAATCTCTGCTCTCAGGGAGCTGACATTTGAGTGGGGGGAGATAGATGATAAACAAAGAAATACAATAGTGTAACTGTTGAGGGGAATAGTGTGTGACAAGGCTGCTATTTCTGGTTTTTTTGAGACACAGTCTCACTCTGTTGCCCGGGGTAGAGTGCAGTAGCAGCAGCTTAGCTCACAGCAACCTCAAACTCCCGGGCTCAAGCGATCCTCCTGCCTCAGCCTCCTAGGTAGCTGGGACTACAGGCATGTGCTACAATGTCCAGCTAATTTTTCTATTCTTAGTAGAGACAGGGTCTCACTCTTGCTCAGGCTGGTCTCAAACTCCTGGACTCAAGCGATCCTCCTGCCTCGGCATCCCAGAGTGCTAGGATTACAGGCGTGCATCGCACCTGGCCAGGGCTGCTCCCTTTGAGGGGCAGTCAGGGAGGGCCTCCTTTGAGCAGAGACCTGGGTGAGGGAGTAAATCGCGTAGGTGTCCAAGAGAAGAGTTCCCGGCCCAGGGAAGAGCCCATGCAAAGGGCCTGAGGTAGGCGTGTGTCAGGGCGTGGTGGGGCACAGCCAGGCCAGGTGGCAGGAGCAGAGTGGATTGAGGGCCCACAGGACGCCTGCGGAGTGGCTGCTTACTCTCAGCGGGCAGCTCAGAGCAGGGCAGCCGTGTGATCTGACAGCGTCCCTCTGGCCGTGTGTGGAGACAGAATGGTGGGGGCCCCGGGGGAGGCAGGCAGAGCAGGGAGCAGGTCCCTGAAACGGTCAAGCCGGAGAAGCTGGTGGTTGCACAAGGTGGGGACAGTGGAGGCAGGGAGTAGTGGCTGGACCCTGCACACATTTTGAAAGTAGAGCCGACAGCATTTGCTGATGATTGGATGCGGAAGGTGAGAAAAAGAGAGGGACCGGGCATGATATCCAGGTTTGGGGCCCAAGTGACAGGACACAGGGAGGTGGCACTGACCGAGATGGGGAGGCAGGGCTCCCACAGCACGTACCCACACACAGGAGACCACCCCCGAGCACACGCACTCGTGTGAGTCACTGGGTAGGTCCCTGCCCCGCCGGGGAAACTGAGGCAGGCATCGAAGCCTCAAGCACTCACCAACACCCAGGATGACGAGGGGCGTGTGCTCCCAGCGGGCCAGCAGCAGGAGGTGGACCGAGTTGTGGGCCATGAGGCTGAAGCACAGGACCACGCAGCACCACTCCTGGAAGCGCTTGCCTGCAGGGAGCAGAGGGGAGAGGTGAGTGTGGGCGGGTGGAAAAGGCCGGGGGACCAACGCCAGGCAGAGCTGGGACCCCATGGGGCTCTCAACTGTGTTCTGCAAGTCTACCTGCAGGGCTAACCACAACCTGCCCATTTCACAGATCACATCGCTGCGGCCCAGAGAAGGGGAAAGGCCTGCCCAAGGTCATACAGTCAAGGGTGGATGCCTTAAACGGAGCGTGGGACCCTTCAGAGAGCAGGCCGATGTGGCCAGGTCCCATGCCCATGAGGCTGGCCCCGTATAGACCAGTTCTTTGGCAGACGGGACCAGAACTCTGGTCTCCCAGGCCCATCTGCGTTCTCTCTGGAGACACCTGAGGGAACTTTAATAAGCTTCTTTTTAAAAAACTGGAATCTTCATGGCATCACCAATCCCCTTCTGCAGGTAATCATTTGAGGGTAGAGATCTATAAACAGCCGTTAATCCCGGAGGCTCAGACCCTGCCTGACCTCCATCAAGCAGACTCCAGGCATCGCGTCAGGACAAACAGGGCCCTGGGGGCAGCGGGGCTCCTAGCAGGGGGCTGCCATGGGTCAGACTGTGCAAGGCGGGAGTGTGGGCCAGGGAGGCCAGAGCGTCTGAATCTCAGGAGGAGCCAGACATCAGGTTTTGAGTGCAAACTCTCCTATTTAAACGTTGCCACCTATTTTTCTTTTCCAGGTAACAAAGCTAAGAGAGCCACGTATTTTTAACAGGCACGTGCGCACGGACAAGCCGATTCACACGGGAATAACCTGAGTGTCCATCACCTGGGGACTGGCCAAATTAAGGCATCTCTGCAGGTAGGACAAAGCCCGGGCAGACGTCTACGTGTGCACACCAGGAGATGCCCATGATTAACAGGTTCGTGCAAAATGCAAAGTTCCATACAGTGACCATTTATGCAAGAAAATATTTTTTTAAAGATCTACATAGTTGTGGCTGGGTGTGGTGGCTCACACCTGTAATTCTAGCACTCTGGGAGGCCGAGGCAGGAGGATCGCCCAAGGTCAGGAGTTCAAAACCAGCCTGAATAAGAGTGAGACCCTGTCTCTACTAAAAATAGAAAGAAATTAATTGGCCAACTAAAAATAAATAGAAAAAATTAGCCAGGCCTGGTGGCGCATGCCTGTAGTCCCAGCTACCCGGGAGGATGAGGCAGGAAGATTGCTTGAGCCCAGGAGTCTGAGGTTGCTGTGAGCTAGGCTGACACCACGGCACTCTAGCCCGGGCCAAAGAGTGAGACTCTGTCTCAAATAAATAAATAAATAAATCTACATAGTTGAGACTGCCCTTTCACTACTGCCTTTGCAAGCACTATCAAAACTTTTTCTTTTAATTTTAAATTAACACCAGGCGTGGTGGCTCTTAGCACTCTGGGAGGCCAAGGCAATAGATTGCTCAAGGTCAGGAGTTTGAAACCAGCCTGAGGGAGATCCCGTCTCTACTAAAAATAGAAAGAAATTAATTGACCAATAAATAACTATCACGTATACAAAAAAAAAAAATTAGCCGAGCATGGTGGCGCATGCCTGTAGTCCCAGCTACTCGGGAGGCTGAGGCAGGAGGATTGCTTGAGCCCAGGAGTTTGAGGGTTCTTGAGCTAGGCTGATGCCATGCCATCACCTAGCCTGGGCAACAAAGCAAGACTCTGTTTCAAAAAATAAAAGTAAATTAAAATTAAAAAAAATAAAAGGATATAAAAACACCATCTGAGCGACACAGAACGTGTGACTAGGCTCCTGGGTATGCCCTAGGCAGCTGCTCCCACAGGCACAGAAAACTTCAATGACAACAATTTTATCATTAGTGTTTAACATCCATCAAGCAGTTACTATGTGTCAGGCACCTGCCAAGGTGATGATGTCCTTTTGCAGATGACAAAACTGAGGGTCAGAGTGGTTCAGCAAGTAGCCCACGGGCACCCAGGCTAGTCCCCTACAGACCAGGATTCTGTGGCCTGGGTGGGCACCTAAGACCCTGCCCTCACCCCATTCTGCTCTCTCCTGCTGCCCCTGGTCCCTTGCTCTACTCGCCACCACCCCATTGCCCTGGCGACATCTGTGTCAGGAGCCCAGGCCTGCTAGGTAATGGACCAAATGGGACCCAGTGAGGGACTAGCCAAGGAGACAGGGCCAGAGCGGGTAAGGGGCCTCCTCCTGCATCTGCCTTCTCTTCTCTTCAGGGCTTCGAGCACACTGTTCCCTTCTTCCCCTCTGCAGCTGGCTGGTCTGACATGGCTCCTGCACATCTCGGCCTGGAAACCTCCGCCTCCAAGAAGCCATCCATGATGCCTCCGCTGACCCTGTGCTTCCCCAGCATGGGCCCATCACTCAGGACCGTGGCCTGCATCCGTTTGTCTTCCCTGCCCGAATGTGAACTCGGGAGGCCAGAACCGAGTCTGGTCACTCACCAGGGCCCGGGCCTCGGTTGGTACTCAATAAATGCTTGTGCGACGAGCAAATTCCCAGCCACAGTCCTAAAGGCCAACTCCAAGGCTTTGTCTCCAGGTGCCCCTTACTGACGTGCCTTGGGATGGAAGTACAGGGCTCCCCATTTGTCCTGGCGGGGAAACTGAGGCTCAGGAAGGGGGAGGAACTTGTCCCGGTCACACAACAGCGCACTGCTCCCCACCCACCCTGGACCAGAACCAGGATGGCTGCCCTCCCCTCGCCTCGTGAAAAGACCACGGCTCAGAAGCAGGAAGGGACATGCCAGAGCCATGACCCCTTGGTCCCTCTTTACAGAAAAGGACACTGAGGCCCAGAAGAGACAAGGACCCCGAGAGAGGTCACGCCGCAGCCGCAGCAGGCCCAGCGCCCCTCATCCTTGTTCTTAGGCAAGGGCCCCTCTGACCCAGCAGGGCCTGCCGGGGATCACCACGTGGGACCCAGCAGGGCCCCGTCTCCAGTTCCCGTCTGTGGCCGGCCCGGGGCTCAGAAGCAGGGAGCCCCGCGGGAGCGGGCTGGGGGGGCGAGGAGAGGCAGAGGGAGTAAAGGACAGGCGACTCCTCCCTGTCGGCATGCAGGTCAGCAAGTGGGCAGAGCTGACAGCGACATGATCAGATGACAGTTCCAGTAAGGATGGCCCACACCCTGGAAGCCTATCCCGTGCTGGGGGACAGGGCATGGCCCCCGTCACAGATGTCGAAAACCGCCTCACTCGGCATGTTTTGCTCGGTTTTAAAAAAAAAAGCTAAATTTTAAAATCACGTACAATTCCTAGTCTCCTGCTTCCCTTGAGAACACAGGGCTCAGGCCACCCTGGGCCTGGCAGTAGTGGCTGCGCCCGTCCAGTGGGGCATGAGCTCCTGGTTCATGCCGGTCCTCCCCCTTCCCATGGCCTCACACTGGGGAGCGTCCCTTGGTGGCAGCCCTGGCCAGGCCCCTGTAGTCGTCTGAGTTTTTGTGCTCAAGGCAGCCTCTCATTCGAGTCTCAGTCCCGCAAGGAAGGAAACGTGTGATCCCATTTTCCAGATAAGGACACTGAGGCTCAGAGCTGGGTTTGGATCCCAGACTCACAAATGGGGTGTGCAGGGCTGTCCCGATTCCAAAGACGGCCCAGCTCTCTCCCCACACCATGGAGAATGTCCCTGGAATTTAAATATTTTTCCTTCTAAATTCCATCTCTCTTTGGCCTCTGGAGCCTGGACCTTTCTGCAGATCAAGTGCCTCAATTCTAATCCCTAAAGAACACATAAACAATACTGAGTGGCCTTCACTGAGCACCGAGCACGTGTCGGGCACAGTGCTAAGGGTGACCCCAGTGACCCCCTCCGCCCCCCCCCCCCCCCCCGTGAGCTGGGGACCATTTGTCCCATCCTGTGAAGGAAAAACTACGCCTAGAGAGATGATGAAGTGACTTTTCCAAAGTCACCTGAGGGTCACCAAATTCACAGTATGGCCATCACCCTGGCAGGCCTGTGGGGTCAGGTGGCCTAAACGATACCACTTTGCAGATGGCAGACTGAGCCACGGGGTGGGGGTGTGCTCAGGACACAGCTGTCCTCGTGGCTGGAGCACTGAGGCTGTTTCCAGCCGGCCTGCTTGGCAAAGGTTGACGATCTGGGCTGAGTGACAGTAGGTGACCGCTGTTGTTGGCCTGGGGAGGGCTGTGCTCGAGCGGTGGGCATGGAGGGCTGGAAGAGAGGGAGGCCCAGGCCAGGCCTCCACCACGCTGCTTTTGGGAGGGTAGGCCCCAGCCAAGGACTCGCCCCAGGGCCGGACTCCCTGTCCGCTCAAGCCCCAAATAGCCTCCACTTCTGACGCCTCTCGCCACCAGGAGACCCTCAGCCCTCAGGAGATGGGGGCAAGATGAAGAGAGAGGTGGAGACCAGGGAAGAGACGACAGACAGAGGGGCGAAGAGAGATGAGAGGGCAGGAATCAGGGAAAGATGAGAAACAGCGCGGACGAGAGAGGGAGACGAGAGACAAGCGAAATGGCGTGACCAGAGAGGAGGCTGGCAAAGAGACAGACCAAAGCTCAGCCGGGTGTGGAAGGACTGGGCCTGGCCACGCGAGGGGCCCAAGCCTCTGTCCCAGGTTAGCCCATCCAGGGCACTGAACGCCCTGGCTGCGTTGGGACTATACCCAGGACTCGCCAACCCATGCCGACACTCCCACCTTTCCCCTCACGCACACTCGAGTCCCCATGTTCCCCCAGGGCAGGACATCCACATTTGTGCAGGGTGGGGGAGGCTGGATGCCGATCCTCGTGAACACGTGAGAGTGGCACCACAAGCCAGATTTTGGCCTGGCACGTCCTGGAAGCTGGACACCGCGGCCGTCTGTGCAACTGGGACAGCCTGCCAAGCCGCCAGCCCGTGACAACCCCTGGCCCGCAAGATGGGCTGCTCGCTGCAAACCAAACCCGAGTAGGGCCCTGCTGTGCTCCTGGGCCCGCAGATCGGGCCCTACTCCTGGCCGGACACTCGGTGATCCCCAGGAACGAGACCAGGGGCCCACCTCTCTTGCCCGCCCCTCTCCACTCCCTCTGGTCCGCTCGTGCCTCTGCAACAGCGCCCGCGCCTGCACGTCCGGGCAGCGCCTGCATTGCACGCTCCCTGACCCGGGACACGGCTCCTCTGCCACAGACTCTTGCCTCGCTTGGCCCACTCCCAGCTGCGGGACAAGACACAGAGCCGGCAGGCGGCCGTCCGCCCCCAGTCCAGTTGCTTTCCTGCTGGGCTACGGCGCCGACGCACCGATGGCCGGTGGCGTGCAACGTCGCCAGGTGAGCTGGGCGTCATGGAAGTGGCAGCACGCCAGGCAGGACAAAGAGATGGCAGTCGCGCTGGATCCTCGCTACCTTCCATGTCAGTCTCGGGCGCCAGACCGGCCTATCCCAGTCAGAGCACGCTTCGGAGACGAACGACGCGTGGTGGGGGCTGGGGAGGGCCGCCGCCCCTCTCCTCTCTCGTAGAAGCGGCGTACTGTCAGGGTGCAGCCGCGCGCATCAGCGCAGTGAGGAGAACGCGGGGCCGGTATGGCGACGCGAAAATGCCTCGCACGCAGTCAGGCTCAACAAACGTCACAGCTGTCTTAACTGCCATATTATCCCTGTCAACTGTCACGCGCCAAACCACTGCCTCTGGCCCAGGAATCTCATTAATAAGTTCTATATCTCTCTTGATGATTACCCATGGATATTCTCTCTCCACTCTTCTCTTGTTTTCTCTCTTTGCTGCACCCTCACAGTATCCTCCGTGATGTCGTAGAACGATGCCCAGGCCGCCCCACTCAGGCCTTGCAACCTGGCTGTTCCTCCCTCCTGCTTCCTCCTCTCTTGTTGCCCGTGCTCTCTCTTCAGGTCACGTTGCTCAGGTGAGATGCTTGAATTGTGGCCTTCCTCTCAATA